GCAGTTTGCACTTTATGATTTATATCTTGTCTCCGATGCAGTTTAAGTATAATGCAGTTTTTTACTCTTATATCATTGAAAATAACAAGCCAATTGAAGAAACATATTGGTTTAAAGTTCAATCACAAAGCTACAAGAAAAATTTTGTGTTTATTCAGTTTTTCTTTCTTCAGGGGATATTAGTTCCAAAACTAACATTTGGCCCATTTCTAACACTGAGTGTTAGAAATGGGCCAAATCTGCAAAGTTATCTTTTTCCAGAGTATATATTTATATCCAAGACGAGTAGAACAAAATAACACCATATATTTATAAAAATGGCTAAAACTCTATATTGAAACAATAAATGTCAATTTTAAACTACTAATAATAATATATGAAAATTAGGTTTTTGATGATTCTTGAATTCATTTTCGAACATATCCCTTTTTTGAAACAATTACCGGATTTCAGCTCATGTCACGTTTTCGGAACATATCCTGATTTTGAGACAATTACCACGGATTTCAGCTCATGTCGAGTTTTCGGAACATATCCTGAGTTGGAATTTTAAAAGCTTAAACCCTACTAAAACCCGGTCTTTGCGTCTGCTTAGACCCAAGTAAAGCTCAAGTCAAGACTCGGGTTTTGGATGGCCTTGAGTTTAGTAAAAACCAATCCTCTTGGGTCTTACTCTCTTTATTGCTCGAGTCTTCAGCAGCTGATGATTGTAAATTTCGTAAAATCTTTTATATTTGTACATTTAAAATCTTGGGAAGTATTTGTGGTGTCAAATTTATTAATTATATAAAATAAACATACTATAAAAATAATTTATCTACATAAAGTTTGAATTATCGAAATTTACATCTCCTTCTCACAGCTGATCTGACGGCATTCTGTCTGCTACGGAGAGAAAGCTTGCAAAACAGTCTCTCATTGGTCGAATCAGAACCAATCCTGACTATCTAAGCCCAAGTTTGGGTTTTAGTCGGGTTTAAGCTTTTAAAATCTTATCTCTGGTTTTGAGACAATTACTGGATTTCAGCTCATGTCGAGTTTTCGGAACATATCCTGGGTTTGAGACAATTACCGGATTTCAGCTTATGTCGAGTTTTCGGAACATATCCTGGTTTTCAGACAATTACAGGAATTCATATCAATGTAAATATTCAAGTATTTACTCACTTATGAAAAAAAAAGATTTTTTTATGAGGTAAAATATAAACAAAATAGAAAATAAAAACAAACTTTTCTATTTTAATTTAAAAATCATTACAGCATTTAGAAATAAAAATATTAATATCATTTGTCCTTACAATATAGATTTAACTAGAAATGCGGGAAACTGTTTGTTTAAAATGCTTGAAAATAAATCATCCATATTCTCAATTTAACAGATAAATTGTGGAAACTTAGATTCTAGAAATAATTTAGAAGTTAATTTAGTCTTCAGAAGATAATTTTTGTTTTCAGTGATTTATTATGTAAGTTATGAAAGTGAGTTTTGTTTTGAATTGTGGATTATACTCAAAAACGGGAAAGTGGGTTTTGTCTCGAAAACGCGACAATGTTTCAAATTCAGGATATGTTTGAAAATGGAAAACCTAACATTGTCTTAAAAAAGGTCAAGAGCTTTAATATAAAAGAACTCCTATTATAATTTTGATTTTTAAAAAAAGTTTAAAATTGGGAAATGTTGTCCTCGTCATGTTTAATAAAATGTTGGTTATAGTTTCTATTATCGACTTTTACTCTGGATATGAGCCGGGATCCCAAAATCCCAGTCTTTCAATATTTTCCCATTTCTAACACTCAGTGTTAGAAATGGGCCAAGTGTTAGTTTTAGAACTAATGTTCCCTGTTCTTTATTTTTAGATTTCGCCTAGATTAAAGAACATATATCGGCGCCCTACTTAACATCAGCAACTAAAGACGAGATCGACCTTGTATAACATTATATAATAAAGCTCTTCGCTAATATATAACCAAACCAAACCAAATGGCTAGACCTAATTGGCTGAAAGTGTTTAAGGAACACGTACATGGGTGTTGAGTGGTGATATTCGTGACATTGCCAAAATAAATTTTTTTAAATAAATTTCGCGGGAAAAATTAGTATTTAATAAATCAGTTGTAATTCCAACAATTGTAAAAAATTTTATATTTTTAAATGAGGGTCTATTTAGATATCTGTATATTGTGTATTTACATTAAAACAGGATACACAAAATCCGCTAAAAGAATCTTTAAAATCAAACGTCGTAATTTAAATATCATATATATTGGCCCTGTTAAACTGCATCTATATATATATATAGATATATATTTGCATTTTCAACAGATAAATAAATTAAGTCATTCAGGCATAACAGTCTGGAGTCTAGAAAATAATAATTTAATTGAATTGCAGAGTAAAAATATTCGGAAATCCCTGAAAATCACTAATTATCAATTCTGTACGTGACATTTCTGTTTTCTTAATAAACACAAAATTATTATAATATAAAATGTTTCAAAGCTTTACCGTTTTGGCTGCGGATTTCTGAGCACTCATCACAAACTCAGATTTCAATTTTTTAACAATTTTTTAATTTTTTTTTATCGATTACTGACGAGGGTCAACCCAGACCGAAATATATTTTCAATAAATGTGGAACTATAACATCTACTTTTTTACTCTACATCACCGAATTTTAAATCAGATTTCAAGATCCTTATACCTTCGCAACTTGATGTAGTAGAAGTAGACAATTAATATTTAAAAATATGCATTTTACAAGATCAAATAGTCAAAGATTGAATAATCAACGGATTATACAATCAGGTCTCAAAGATTAATTGAAAAAAGTAGAGTTTGCGACGAAAAATCACTTCTTTAAACCATTAGAACATGAACAACATGTTTCAAAGGGACTGTAAGCATAATTTCAAGTGACCCTCCATGCAAACATGGCAATGTCCGATTTACAGCAGTACCCTTAAAAACTTTATTTCATCAAGATTGAGTTTTGTTTTTGAAAATTGTTTTTTTTTCATTTGTGGTTTCTCTGCAAAAGTGACTTGCGCATTTCTTGCTCAAAAGAAAGACTAGAGAAAATATCAGGATTAAACACTGTTTGAGTCAGAAAAAACGACGTTATCTTCCACATTTTTGATCAGATTAAGGTTTCAAGGGTACTGTTGTAAATTGGGCATTGTCATCTTTGCATGGAGGGTCAGTTCAAATTTGCTAACTATCCCTTTACGAAAGAAAAATATGTTTGGGAACTAGAAGTAATTACTTATCAATTCAGATCACTTTGATGGCATTTTGGTAATCAGAGTTGATAAGTTATTTGACCACATATAGGAGGAGGGAAGTGGGGGGGGGGGATTTCTATGTTTGTGGGTTTCGGTGTTTGGTTTGGTTTTACAGTAAGACAATTAGATAATTAGAGAACTAAATATATAGACAAATACAAATAAATATAACTTAGCTTTGATTTACCGTTGCTAAATACCAAATATATAAACTGTAGTGCAAGAACTATATACCCCATCCAATCTATTCCTGACTATATCTATCTATTATCAACCTATTCTATTCATAATATATCTTTTTATAACTTATTCTAATCTTAATCTATCTATTATCAACCTAATCTAATCTTAAAATATCTATCATTAATCTATTCTAATCTTAATATTTTAACTATCAACGTGTTTTAATCTTAATATATCTATCATCAACCTTTTCTAACCCTAATCTATATATTATCAACCTATTCTAATCTTAATCTATTTATTATCAACCTATTATAATCTTAATCTATACATTATCAACCTATTCTAATCTTAATATATCTACTTATAACCTATTCTAAATTTAATATATCTATTATCAACCTTTTCTAACCCTAATCTATATATTATCAACCTATTCTAATCTTAATATATCTATTATCAACCTATTCTAATCTTAATCTTTTTATTATCAACCTATTCTAATCTTAATCTATATATTATCAACCTATTCTAATCTTAATATATCTATTATCAACCTATTCTAATTTTAATCTATCTATTATCAACCTATTTTAATCTTAATATATTTATTATTAGCCTATTTTAATCTTAATCTATTTATTAGCAACCTATTCTAATCTTAATCTATCTATTATCAACCTAGTCTAATCTTAATCTATCTATTATCAACCTATTTTAATCTTAACCTTAATTTTTGGCTTAAATTTTTCCCTGCGGTTCTTTTCTAAGTTTAACACTCCATAATATTTCATGTTTTTAAACAGATGCATGTTTTTTAATGACAACTTGATAAGTACGTATCTATACGCAAATATTGATGTTTTTGTATAAAAACTTCAAGAAAAAAGCAAACACACATATACATTGTATAAATGGAAATACATGTATTTACAGTTGTATGTAACCTTGAGAAGTGTACTAATACTGTGTACTTGTTTATCAATCAAAGATCATTCTCCCCTTTTGCATTCTAATAATGCATTATTACGATTACATAATACAGATCATGTTATGTTATTAGGATTTTAAAATAATAATAAAGTGGTCATTTTTATCATTATAAAATGTTCGCGGATTTCATTGCGCATTTGCTAACATAATGATTGTAAACATTTTTTCCGAACAAAGTTTTTTCAATTTTGTCAGTCCATAAACTTTCCTGTGGTCATGCAAGTTGCCATACAAAATTTGGACCCGATCGGTTCAGTCATTTTGACGTTTATTGGATACCAGCAGACAGAGAAACAGACAGACAAGCAAAGTATTAATATAGAAGGAGGAGATAGGTATATAGCAATATACTTTAAATTTATAAAAAGACACATAACAGTTGGTTTACTACAGACCTTTTCAAATAAATATCAAAATTATATGGATTGAATAATGATATGTATAAAACATATATTTATTTCTCTCTCTCTTTCTCTCTACTAATCTTGTTTCTTGTTATTATTATCAGAAAGTTAGTTCTACTAGTTCTCCCGTAGCAGGAGGATGCTTTAGATTTATATCCGTCAAAACCATTCAATCTGTGTAGAGTAGTATAGTTTGATTAACTATGTCTATAGTTGATCCTATGGACCTCATCATCATGGTTATGTACATGTTGGTTCTGGTAACAGTTCTAGGCAATATCCTGGTTCTAGTCTCGATCTTAACCCAGGATAAAACTCGTGCGGTTCGATCCAACAAGTTCCTTGTCTCCTTGGCTTGTGCTGATCTCTGTGTGGGTATATTTGTTATGCTCCCAAGTATATTGAAGATACAGGCTGGGAGCTGGAGCTGGGGACCAACCCCCTGCAAGATCTGGGTTACTCTCGACGTTTTCTTCTGCTCTGCCTCCATCTACAGTCTCATTGGAATCAGCTTGGACAGATTCTACGCGATTTACAAACCTTTGAACTATGCGATTGAAAAAACTCACTGGTGTGTTTACTTTCTGATAGGATTTGCCTGGTTAATGGCCTGTATCATCTCATTCCCGATGTACATCCGGTTCAACAAGTTCTCAAACTGGACCCGGACAGTGGATAAGAACTTCAACGCCTGCTCTACCCCTGCTGAACCCTCGTCCAAAGGTTGGGTCTTGTTTGCTGGAATACTAGCGTTCATATTCCCAATGTTGATCCTCACCACCCTGTATATTGCCATCGGATTAAGAATGCGAAAACGTCAGAGCGGAAAAATAACACGAGCCAAGACAAACCTGAAGATGGCGGTGAGGGCAAATGTGTGGAAAGGAGGGAACAAGGTTGAGGTTGTGGTCAACACCCCCCAGGACGAACTCCAGGTTCCAGGTTGTATCATGAACCCTGACTCCGGATTTCAAGAACCACAGGTCAGAGAGATATCAGTGATTGGTCTGAAAGCTGAACAGATCAATGTTGATCCTGAAAGTATGACCAGCTACAAGGAAACAGATATTGATGAAACACGTTCAGGACTTAAGGGTTTACAGGGGCTACAAGAGCATGAAATCAAACAACTCATGGTTCTGGAAAAGATCGGGGTTCGGAAAACCAAACATCTATCCAGGGCGGAGAAGAAACTAAGATCAGAGGAGAAGGTTCAAACCAAGATAACAATCATGATGGGAGTCATCATAGGATCCTTTGCAGCCTGCTGGACACCGTTTGCAGTTATGTTCTTCGCAGCACCCTTCTCCCTTGAGCTAGGGGAGTTCTTGGAGAAGTATGAAGCTGTTACTGATACTATAACCTGGATAGGTTATCTTAACTCATGTATCAATCCTATTATATATGCCTCCATGAACACTGAAATAAGGAATGGAATGGTCAAGTTCTTGTGCCCTATGAGCAAAATGTAAATAAATGTTTTGATAAATTATTTTGTAAATAAAAATAGAATTAAGTCTTAAAACAAATGAGAAAATCTGAAGGGAAAAATTTATTGAATACTGAACCTATGAAAAATTCGTTGATTGATAGGTTTCTAGATTACATGGATTACAGGGAGTCCCAATAAGCATGAACATTGAATGATCATGCATTTAAGGTAAATTTCAGGATAAAATAAATTCAGGGTTTGATAAATAAATGTTGAATGGACCAAGGACAGTTTTAAATGCTCAAACTAAATTTTCTTGTATTTTGGGACATCCTGTATCATCAATTTCCGAGTATATGGTAGAGGGATTAAACTAGAGTGTTCGGATAAGAACATCAATGTTTTATTATTAAACAATACAAATACAAAAAAATGATAAAAATAGACACTTCTTTAAAGATAAATCTCTATAAATGGAGGCTTATCCCCCTCCCTCCTTAAAAAATAATAATATTCATTAGGAGGGGCAGGAGAAGAAGAAATAGAGAGAGAAAGAGAGAGAGAGAGATACAATCTAAAATTTTCTGGAAAATATACAAAAATAGATTTTCAATTTTTATTTGTACGCTCTAACTAGAACTTTCAAACTAATGATTACAACTTAATATCAAAAATGGAATTATGTTACTCGTTTTAACTGGTGAAAACTATAGATGGAAAATGAAATAAGAAACAAATCAACATTATAATAAGATATTTATTTTTGCTTTTTTTAAACCATAGCATTTCAGATAATTTCTTGACGTTTCCGTACTAATGTCTCGTTTTTATTCAGTAAATGTTTTTTTTGAAGAAAATACACAAACTCTAATTTTCTTATCGTTATGTCTTTGAAACTTAACGACGTAGACCATAGATAATTCAAACTATAAGTTCTGTAGAAAATCTATGTTTGATATATCAAGGTTCAGAATATTTGAGTTTGTGGCAAAGACTCGATTTCTAAAAATTCATCGGAATTCATAGTTTGAAATATCAAATGTCGGATCAGAGTTTGTGGCAATGAATCAATTTCTTTCAATCAAACAATAAAAGTTGATGTGGGTATTGCCAAAACTGCATAATTATATACTTCCAACAATTAACATTTATTATAAAAATTATTTTTATACTGTTAACAATATACAATATACAATATACAATATACAATATACAATATACAATATACAATATACAATACACAATATACAATATACAATATACAATATACAATATATGTACCACAAGATTCAATTCTGCAGAGAATATTCTAAATCGCATCATAGAGGACAAAGACCCCGAGTAAAAAGTAAATATCTGGAGCAAAAATACTTTCCTGTTTTGCAGATCTGGGTATCGTTCAGTTAACGAACGTCCAGTTTTATTTAAAAAAATTAACAGAAGATTTGTAACAAACGGCATTTTTTTAAAAATCAACGGAAGATTCCGTTCACAAACGTTAATTTTGTAATCATGAACTAACGGAAACAACCGTTAAAAATAACGACATTTTTTGTAAATAATTTTTGCCGCTTTATTAAAAGTTTCTAGCGCTAATTAAATACATGCCTATTCTAGGTCAAGTTAGGTTTGGTATAATAATTGACAATCTTGTCCGTTTAGAAAAGTTTTCGTTCGATATTAACAGGGTGTTTCATTAAGTTGTAATGGTTATTAAACTAAACACTTTTTTGTTAAAAAAAGGTCGTTTGCTAACATCCCACCCTTTTGCACGAGATAAAGCATGTTCTATCAGTAGTGCAAGACACCCCCCCCCCTCCCCAGCTCTTTTATCTCGACGCTTTATATTATATTTTATTTTTTTTGCAATCTTTAGATATATATTTTTATCCAGAAATTTTTATTCATGTATTTATCTTTTCAAAAATTGTCATAAATACAAGTGTTGTGTGTATTGATTTCTGTGTTCTGGCAGAAGAATTGTATAGCAGAGCAATGAACTTAAATAAACTGCAGATTAATGGAGTCATAGATTACATGAATAGGACAGGAGAGGTAGTTCTTCTTTTATTTTGGAGTCAAAGATTACAAGCATAGGACAGGAGAGGTAGTTCTTTTAGTAGGTTGAAGTCATATATTACATGGAAAGTACAGGAGAGGTAGTTCTTGTACTAGGTTGAAGTCATAGATTACATGGATAGGACAGGAGAGGTAGTTCTTGTATTAGGTTGAAGTCATAAATTGCATGGATAGGACAACAGCTAAGTAGTTCTTGTATTAAGTTGGAATCAAAACTACTCGGATAGGACAACAGAGTTAGATCTTGTTTTAGGTTGAAGTCATAAATTACATGTTTAGGACAGAAGAGGTTGTTGTTGTTTTAGGTTGGAGTAATATATTACACGGATAGGACAGGAGAGGTAGTTATTATTTTAGATTGGAGTCATAGATAACATAAATATGACCACATAGGGAGTTCTTGTTTATTTTGTAGTCATAGGTTACACTTTGATAGTTGATCGATAGTATCGGTGAAACATTTTTATTTATTAAAACATTAAATTAAGATTGAATTAAATTAAGATTGCTTAACTTCATAATCTACAGTATTTTGGAGCTCACTGTACAAAATGTACTATTTACCAGTCGCTAGAAGCCGGGCAGCTACAATGATTGGGTAAGGTACGATCTCATATGTTTCTGGAGGTGCAGAGCACTCCTGTAATGCCGAGTCCTTTAGCATCTGATCCAATCAGGGTTCAGTCATATGTTTGTTGTCTATTCTGAACCAATAGCAATTGCATGGCGGTAACATCTATCTTTCTACCTATCTCATTATCCAATTAGAGTTATGAATACTTCAATCAGCGTTAAATGGAAATGTTTACTTCTACTGAAACTATAGTGAGAAATGGGTACAGTGACTTTTTTGAGAAAGTGGAATTTCTAGGACCGGCCGGCACCGAGGATTATGATGGGAGATATTAAATTCTAGAAAGAAAACCCTTCATGTGTTTTCTGTGTAATCTATGGGTATGAAATGTACATTATACTAGAATAACAGCAAATTCGGAATTTCTGATTTGTAATTATACAGAAAAATATTTCATATTGTTATCACGCACCTCTGCCCCTTTAGTAAAAGTAAATTTAACCTATATGAAGCATAATGTCTGACCGCGCCAACCTTGTTGCACCGGCAAGTCTTGTCCATAGATGTAGGTACAGTACAAACTGGTGTCGTTGACCCGGCTCGGAAGTTCTAATGTACTACGGCTCCCCGTGGTTATAATATTAACTAGCTGAAGTCCCACACGTTGCCTGCGTAATTTTAAAACCACTTTATAAAAAGAATCAAATTTTAAACAAAAAATCGATTTATGATTTAGCCTGTGTTATCCCCCAGGCATTGGGCACCCATGGGTTTCAGACAAATTAATATATATATTATATTATAGATGTATCTAATGAAATATGGATATATGAGAGCTCCAAGTCCTCAAGCTAAATCAGCAAATCTGCTTTCACAGGTAAAAACAAAAACTATAAATTAAAAAAAAATTATCTGTATATTTATAGAGAAAAAAAATAATCAGTGTGTGTTTGAATGTTGGATCAAAACTCAAAACCCCCGAACCGATTTGCCTCACATATTGATTGGGGGGAACTCTGAAGAACCACGGGAATGTTATTAGTCAGGCTTTTACAGCGAAAGTTTAGTTTCCGGCAAAGCTGTGTTCCAAAGCTTCTAGTTGTATATTTTCTCTAAAGCCCCCTGGGAGCCTTTCATAATATTCTTCAATTACTTTAATGCTTTAAATATCAATTCATTTTATCTTTTTCTTTTATTTCAAAGCCGATTATTTGGTTATCTTTTTTTTTAAATTATTTCTTTTTTTTATATTTCAAAATACAATTTTTAAAAAAATGTTCAATTAGACGACTGAAAGGAATTAAGTCTTTCCCACAAACTATAATTTTATACTCCCTATAGCTTTGCTACCAAATGTCATAGACCTGAGATATTTTACACTATGAATTTCGTTTGATAAATATCTTAGTTTGAAATATCAAAAGTTTAAACAATTACATGCCAAGATAAAGAGATTCGAAAATTTGATTTTGTGGCAAAGACTCAATTCCTTTGTAGATAATACTAGTTAGTTAATACTAATTCATGTGAATAAATTATTTTCAAACTTTCTGGATATCCTTAACCCTATTCCCGCTGGGGGGGGGGGGGCAATTTGACCCCCCCCTGTAGTTTTTTCTACATAACTCAAAAAGTATTGGTCTGAGGCTGTTGAAATTTTCTGACTTTTCTTACATACCCAAAGCCCTCCCTTTAGGCCTAAAACCGGGCTTTAATACTAACTGCCTGAGTCCTCAGGCACACTGCCTAAATGACTGCTTTTGCCTGTAGCAAACTAAATCTTTGTTTTGACCCCCTTTCACTTGTCAGATTTTGATAAAATTTAGCTTTTTGGAAAGCCTTTGACATAAGGAAACGGATTGCACAAGTTTTGCGAGAAAAAAAATTGCAAATTTTTTGCAAAAAACCTGTCAAAGGAAATTTGCACATTTTTAGTTTTTCTTGATTAAAAATCAGGTTATTTAAAATTTTGCAAAAATTTTTGCATATTTGAAATGGCATGGTCAAGGGCTTTTCAAAAATGTATAATTTGTCATTTTTTGGACAAATTTTTTTTGCAAACATTTTTACTATAAAACTGGATTTTGCGATAAAAAATTCAATTTTCGCAAATTTGCAAATTTTTTTGCAGATTCTAAAAGTAGAGCACAAGAGCTTTCTAATGATGTATCATTTGTCATATTTGGACATAAAACATGGGATTTAGAGGGGGGGGTCAAATTGACCCCCCCCCAGCGTATCCTGGTTTTCAAGTACCCCAGCGGGGATAGGGTTAATTAATCTGGAGATTGATAACAAGAACAAGCATTATCTAATCTCGAGATTAAGAAAAAGAGTGGATCAAGCATTAATCCTGATATCCACCATTCAAAAGTTCCCAGCTCAGTTCAGTGATACAAATTCATTTTCTAATTCATTTTGGGACAGAATTAAATGAATTGGAGAGATGTTGCTGAGCTATCTGTACTGCCAGTTCAAATCCTGAATCACCAATTCAAAGTTAAAGATTCATAATGATTTCAATCGGCAATTTAGGATTTGAATTGGAGGTAGGGAGTTCAGCAACCTTATTCTAGGATGGTTTGAAGAGTTATATAATGGAGTTCCAAAGTTTTGCTGGTTTACCTCTGACCGGAGAACTAGATAATCAAACCATATCTCTCATGGCGACTCCCAGGTTTCTACATTTATTAAAGGGACTGTCAACATAATTACACTTGACTTTATATTTAAAAAGTTACATGCCCCGATTAACAACGATGCCATTTAAACTGTTTTATATGCCTTTGTTTTCTATCTGAAAATAAATTGAGTTTTTGCCACAAACTCAAATTTCCTATACCTTTGCAAGCTTACGGTGTAAACCTTTGATATTTTAAACTTTGATCATTTTGCTTTAAAGAATTCATGGTTTGAAATATCTCAGGTCTACAACATTGGGGTTAAAAGATATAGGGACTAGACAATCTGAGTTTGTGACAAAGACTCAATTAGTTTATATTTCAAAGTCAGATTCGCTATTAAGGGGAATTGAGGATTTATCAGAGACAATGAGAGAAATCATCTCTTTTTTTTCACAGAAAAGGACGATACCTTCATGATTGCTACTTGAAAGGGTATCGTTGTGAATCGGGCATCGGGTTAAAGGTGGCTAAAAATCCATTTACAGTCCCTTGACATTTTTAAAAAAGATTCTTAAAGATTAACTATTTTTTTAAAAATTAATTACAAAAAAATCATTTTAATACTTTACTTTCAATTATTTAAGAGACAAAAAGTATACAGTTTTTATGTTACTAAACTCTAAATAAGAAATTTTTAAACAAAACCAACTCAACCCAATTCAATGCCAATAAAAAAATCATAAAATTATATTTCATGTTCGTTATCTAAAAAATTTGAAATCTGTTGTGCAAGTTTGGGAAACGCGCGCGCGTTAAGTGTTAACTTCCAATTTTTCTTATTTACTTCACTCTCTAATAGTTGGATAAGATGTTCTGATAATTATTATTCTCAGATGTGGAGTTAAAGATATAGTTGGAGCAGGAGCTACTGCCAGGAAGAAAAGATATGCTTTACAGGGTGAGTCTTAAAAGTGTACTTTATGGTTACAGGGTGAGTCTAAAGGAATTGAGTTTTTGACACAAACTGGGATTTTCTAATATCAAGGCTTCTCGATGTCGTGGACCTTTGATATTTCAATTTTAGAATTATGATAATTCAGTAAAGGAACTGAGTTTTTGTCACATACTCTGATTTTCTTATCCCTATATCTTTGCAATCTAACGTCGGAGACCTTAGATATTTCAAACTATAAATCAATTTAGATAAAATTAATAATAAGTTTGAAATATCAAAGGTTTACACTATCAGGTTGAAAAGATTTGGCGATTGTAAAATCAGAATTTGTGGGAAAAACTCAGTTCCTTAGTCTATAAAGTTTTACATCATGATCAGGTTGCAAAGAACCAGGGATTAGAAAATCACAGTTTTGTACTTTGCGGTTACAGGGTGATTCATGAAGGAAACATGAACGCTCGCCACAAACTCTAACTTTTTATTCATATATCTTTGCAATCTGATGTCATAAGACGATTGAGATTTTAAAACTCTTATGATTTCATCAGCAACCCATCTTTAAGACCTAATTTTTGTGAGAAAAAATGTATTTTATGAACGTGATTAGTAGGGGTTAAGCCTAGAAGTAAAGAGGGGGGGGTGATCTCCTTTTCTCTAATTTCCCCCCCCCCCTTACACAAAACATGTGCAATATTTTTGCAAGACAAAATATACATTAACATAAATGAGCTTATCTGTTTGTGTACTAAGAAATCTCAACGATAGTTTATGCTTTCATGATTCGTACTGTCAGTCGGGTTGAATACGCTATTTTCCCAGAAACTGGAACTGAAGACCCGAAACCGGAAACTGGGAACCAGGTTTTGTCAATTATGACCATTTTTTATTGAGAACATTCTTAAATTATCTAAAAATCTTATATACTTTTAATCATCTAAAATGTAAACACATGTTTATATTTTTGTACCCCTAAAAGAAAGAAATTGGTTTCGTGTGTGTTGAAACTCTATACATTTCTGGTTCAGTGATTACAGCAAAACCTGTAAACTGGTGTAAATGCGCGCAAATTTATAATTTGTTGCGGGAATTATATAAAGAAGTGTACTGTATATACTGTATAATACAACAATATAAAAATTCGCTGCTTGAGTAATCTTAGAATGAGATTGATTTAATGATTTTGAGAAGAGTGTATTTTTTAAAAATTAAGTAATTTTGTTTAAATAATGGTTTTCGACAATTTATCATACCATAAATAACCATTTTTGTTTTATCTAGTGGTTTACAAATGACCCCTATACAGATACAGATACAGATACAGATACAGATACAGATACAGATACAGATACAGATACAGATACAGATACAGATACAGATACAGATAAATATACAGATACAGCTAAAATACAGAAACAGATGCAGATACTGATACTGATAAAGATACAGATACAGATACAGATACAGATACAAATTCATATACAGATACAAGTACAGGTACAGATAAAAATACAGATAAACAAACTAAAAAATGTTATTATAGGTTCCAGATGGAAAACTCGGGAACTGTCCTATAAAATATCAAAATATCCTACTGCATCTCTTCTAAAAAAGTAATATTTTTTGCAAAAATAAATATAAAAATATTATAGATAAATCAGAACATTAAAAATATTTGTCTTATCACCAAAAAAAGCATAAAAGTCTAAAAACTGTTTTTTCTCTTTTGTTTGATTAATGTTCAGTGAAATCCAGACAATTTTTATTTATAAAATTCATTCAAAATCATGCACGTCAAACTAAAGTAAATTCCACCAAAGATTGATTGTCCAATAATAACTCCTCTTAAGAAATCAAAAAAGTTTTGAATTTCTAACATGAAGTCAAATAAATTTATTTCCCTCCGTAAAATCCATACTTCGAGGAGCTTCGATCTCACAAAGTCCTTCTTCTCCTACTGTCTAGTTTCCAGTGCATTCACACGCTCCTCTGCCCCTTTAGTAAAAGTAAATTCAACCTTTTTGAAGCATAACTTCGGACCGCGTCAACCTTGTCGATAGAGCCAGGTACAGTGCAAACTGGGACTAAAATACTATAACCGCAATACTATAGCCAAAGAGTACACACTGGGAATCTCTTAATCTTGGTTTAAAACCAAGTGTACTGCAGTCTGTGGGAGAAATATAAACTGCAGAACACTTACCTTTTGTGAACAAATACTTTCGGATTCCTGTTTTGTCTTCATTGGAGCTTTAATCCCAATACGTTTTTCTTCAAAAACTAAGAAAATAATTAGAACTTCTATATGCATACATATACAAAAAAGAAAAAATTAAATAAAGAAATGTTTTCGCAGTGAATACTTCTCTACTTTTCTGAATACTTCATAAATTGCAGCCCAGATTAATTCTATTTCCTTCTGCATCATGTCAAGCCGTGTCTCATGCCTATTGGCTTGAATTCAAACTTAGAAAATATAATTCCCTGTCCACCGGCGACTTGGGTTCTCCACGCACCCAAACATGCGTTCAAAGCTTTTCTGGGTTGGATTTTTTTAAAAGCCGTATCTTTTTACAAGATATAGATGAGATGACTTGTTATCCGTCCCACTGGGATTGTTAACTTCAGTTTATTTACAAGTATGCCTCTCTCCATGCTTACATCCTCTACCTGATCTTGGAACATATGCGCGTTGCATAGGTTCTGAGATCTCACATAATCCTTCTCCGTCCACAGTGAGATCCTGAAATATATTGAAGCTGATACTTTAAATATATTTATATTTAGCTTGCGAGCAGTTTTTATCCAATAAACGTTATAATAGTAAAGTATATTCTGATATATACAAATATATTTATATTTGGCTTGCGAACAGTTTTTATCCAATAAACGTTATAATAGTAAAATATATTCTAATATATATAAATATATTTATATTCAGCTTGCGAACAGTTTTTATTCATTAAATGTTATAAAAGTAAAGTATATTCTGATACATATAAATATATTTATATTTAGCTTGCGAACAGTTTTTATCCAATAAACGTTATAATAGTAAAGTATATTCTGATATATACAAATATTGTTCTGTGTAGAAGTGAGGTGGATTCTGATAAATAAATATTGTTCTTTGTAAAAGTGAGGTGGATTCTGATATATACAAATATTGTTCTGTGTAAAATTGAGGTGGATTCAGAGATATAAATATTGTTCTGTGTAAAAGTGAGGTGGATTCTGATATATACAAATATTGTTCTGAGTAGAAGTGAGGTGGATTCTGATATATAAATATTGTTCTGTGTAAAAGTGAGGTGGATTCTGATATATAAATATTGTTCTGTGTAGAAGTGAGGTGAATTCTGATATATAAATATGTTTCTGTGTAGAAGTGAGGTGGATTCTGATATATATAAATATTGTTCTGTGTAGAAGTGAGGTGAATTCTGATATATAAATATTGTTCTTTGTAAAAGTGAGGTGGATTCTGATATATACAAATATTGTTCTGTGTAAAATTGAGGTGGATTCAGAGATATAAATATTGTTCTGTGTAAAAGTGAGGTGGATTCTGATATATACAAATATTGTTCTGAGTAGAAGTGAGGTGGATTCTGATATATAAATATATAAATATATTTCTGTGTAGAAGTGAAGTGGATTCTGAGATAAAGAAAGCTCTTGAAATCTGGGGAACTGTGACAGATCTGACCTTTATACAAAAACAATCTGGAAAAGTACATATTGATATCAGGTACATTTATGTGTACTGTACAGCTTGCTCCTGAAGATTCAAAGTACTTGAAATGAACCAGAGTTTGCAGTGATTGTACAGTGTACAATTTACACTGTATAACACTGTAAATTTGTGTACACTGTTCAGTTTTCAGTGTAAATACCTAATTACATCCCCTAGATTTAAATTGAAGGTTCTACACAACTAAAGTTCATAGCCCAATTTTTCAAATTATTTTGTTATGACATTAACATTAACATGTGACACGTGTTTTGTTTCCATTTTTTTAAATTTTAGATCTGTAGCTTAAATACTGAGAAGTTATGAACTATTTTAGGATAGAAAAGCCCCCCCCCCCATCCTCCCTTTCCCTTTTTTTGGTTTAGATAGACAAGATTCACCAAGATTCTGTATTTCAACTTTTAGACGCTGCCTTTAATATATACAGTGTCCGAATTTAATGAATTTAAGCCGCTTCTCAAATCCCCCAAAAACCGGTTTCAATTGAGCGCCGGATTAAATCGTGAAAAATTTATACACTTTTGAACGACACCAACCATATTTGAGCCGCGGCTTAAATTTATGCTGCCAATCAAATTCTTTAAATTCGGCCTGTCTAGGTTTGAGAAAGGAGAACATGGTGATGGAGATCCCTTTGATGGACCTGGAGGAACCCTTGCTCATGCTTACTTTCCAGTTTATGGAGGAGATGCTCATTTTGATAACTCAGAGTCATGGACTATCAATAGTTACAGGGTAGGTTTTCAGAGTCATGAACTATTAACAGTTACAGGGTATGGTTTTTAGGGTCATGGACTATCAACAGTTACAGGGTAGGTTTTCAGTATCATGGACTATCAATAGTTACAGGGTAGGTTTTCAGGGTCATGGACTATCAACAGATACAGGGTAGGGTTTCAGGGTCATGGACTATCAATAGTTACAGGGTAGGTTTCAGGGTCGTGGACTATCAATAATTACAGGGTAGGGATAAAGGGTCATGGACTATCAATAATTACAGGGTAGGGATTCAGGATCATGGACTATCAATAGTTACAGGGTAGATTTTCAGGATCATGAACTATAAATAGTTACAGGGTAGGTTTTTAAAGTCATGGAATATCAATAGTTACAGGGTAGGTTTTCAGGGTCATGGAATATCAACAGTTACAGGGTAGGTTTTAGGATCATGGACTAACAATAGTTACAGGGTAGGTTTTCAGGATCATGGACTATAAATAATTACAGGGTAGGTTTTCAGGGTCATGGAATATCAACAGTTACAGGGTAGGTTTTCAGTATCATGGACTATCAAAAGTTACAGGGTAGGTTTTAGGATCATGGACTATCAATAGTTACAGGGTAAGGTTTCAGGGTCATGGACTATCAATAGTTACAGGGTAGGGTTTCAGGGTCATGGACTATCAATAGTTACAGGGTAGGGTTTCAGGATCATGGACTATAAATAGTTACAGGGTAGGTTTTCAGGGTCATGGACTATCAATAGTTATAGGGAAGGTTTTCAGGGTCATGGACTAACAATAGTTACAGGGTAGGTTTTAGGATCATGGATTAACAATAGTTAAAGGGTATGTTTTAGGATCATGGACTTTCAATAGTTACAGGGTAGGTTTTTAGGGTCATGGACTATCAATAGTTACAGGGTATGTTTTAGGATCAAGGACTAACAATAGTTCCAGGGTAGGTTTTCGGATCATGGACTATCAATAGTTACAGGGTAGGTTTCAGGGTCATGGACTATCAACAGATACAAGGTAGGTTTTCAGGGTCATGGACTATCAATAGTTACAGGGTAGGTTTTAGGATCATGGACTAACAATAGTTACAGGGTAGGGATTCAGGGTCATGGACTATCAATAGTTACAGGGTGTGTTTTAGGATCATGGACTATCAATAGTTATAGGGTAGTTTTTTAGGGTCATGGACTATCAATAGTTACAGGGTAGGTTTTAGGATCATGGACTATCAATAGTTACAGGGTAGGTTTTAGGATCATGGACTAACAATAGTTACAAGGTAGGTTTTCAGGGTCATGGACTAACAATAGTCACAGGGTAGGTTTTAGGATCATGGACTATCAATAGTTACAGGGTAGGTTTCAGGGTCATGGACTAACAATAGTTATAGGGTAGGTTTAAGGGTCATGGACTATCAATAGTTACAGGGTAGGTTTTAGGATCATGGACTAACAATAGTTACAGGGTAGGTTTTAGGATCATAGACTATAAACAGTTGCAGGGTAGGCAATTAAGGCAAAAAAAGATTTTAACACTCGCCAGAAATTCAAATTTTCTTAACCGTGAATCTTTGTAACCTTATGATGCAAACCTTTGATATTTCAAACTTTATTTGATCTAAAAAAATGCATAGTTTGAAATAATAAAAGTAAAAATTAGATTTAGATCCAAACTCTTGAAAATTTTCTTGTTATGTAGTTCTTAACCTGACTTTTTATATGTTGAATTTTTCTTTAATCTTTTCAAAAGATGTGATGTGAAGTTTGGACCGTTTTTCAACATTATGGCTAAACCTACTTTTATTATATTTTTCACAACTCAAATATTAGAATTACCTAAACAGTTTCGTATTCTCACTTTGCCAGAATATCTAGCAATTCCTAGGAATTCTGTACTTCATAGGATTTCCAAAATGTTTTAAACACTTTATCGTAATAAGAAAATTGACCATGACATTTGAAAAAAAAAGAAATATAAACATAATACAATGTTTGCGAAGTTTCCCTTTAATTTGCTAAATGATGTTTTGCCATTATTACAGATGACATTTGAATTTATTAATATATTATTATCTAAGATTGCAACTCACTAAACACTGTTCAGGGAACCAATCTACTACAAACTGCAGCTCATGAGTTCGGGCACAGTTTAGGACTCTCACACTCAGACGAATACAAGGCTTTAATGGCACCTTTCTACAGGGGATACCAGGAGAAGGTAGGTTAATAGCACCTTTCTACAGGGGATATCAGGAGAAGGTAGGTTAATGATACCTTTCTACAGGGGATATCAGGAGAAGGTAGGTTAATGATACCTTTCTACAGGGGATATCAGGAGAAGATAGGTTAATAGCACCTTTCTACAGGGGATATCGGGAGAAGGTAGGTTAATTACAACTTTCTACAGGGGATATCAGGAGAAGGTAGGTTAATTGCACCTTTCTACAGGGGATATTAGGAGAAGGTAGGTTAATAGCACCTTTCTACAGGGGATATCAGGAGAAGGTAGGTTAATGATACCTTTCTACAGGGGATACCAGGAAAAGGTAGGTTAATGGCACCTTTCTACAGGGGATATCAGGAGAAGGTAGGTTAATGGCACCTTTCTACAGGGGATACCAGGAGAAGGTAGGTTAATTGCACTCTTCTACAGGGGATATCAGGAGAAGGTAGGTTAATTGCACTCTTCTACAGGGGATTCCAGGAGAAGGTATGTTTTAAGATTTTATCATTTTCAAGATTAATGATTTGTCTATTACAAATTTATACTACCCCATGTTGGGTTGCAAAAGTTTGGTTTCCAGGCAAAGTTAGATTCTCGGGCTAGTATCCTATATGTTACTGAGGTTTCAAGCTCTCAAGCAAAAATTACTTCTTAAAAACCAATGCTAACAACAGAGATGAGATTTTAAAAGCTTAAACCTGAGTAAAACTAAGTCCTTGCTTCTGCATAGACCCAAGTAAAGCTCAAACGTGAAGACCTCGGTTTTGAATGGCCTTAAGTTTAGTAAAAACAAACCACCTCGGGGATTTTTCTCTTCAAGACTCGGTTCTTTAGCAGCTGATGATCGTAAATTTCGAAAAAAAAACTTTTATTTCTGTACATTTAAAATCTCGGGAGTTATTTGTAGTGTCAAATTTGATCAAAGGTATGAGATAAACATACTATGCAAATAATGTATCTACGTATTTTTTTCGAATTTTCGAAATTTACATCTCCTTGTCAGAGCTGATCTGTTAGCAATCTGTCTGCTACAGAGAGAAAGCTTTCTAAGCAGTCTCTAATTGGTCGAATCAGAGCCAATCCTGACTTGGGTTCTATCTGGGCCCAACTCTGGGTTTCACTCGGGTGTAAGCTTTAAAAATCTCATCTCAGGCGGTATATGTACATGTAAAGGGCTACAAAAAAAGCATTACTGCGTTAGAGCGGTCAAAGTCAAATGTCAAATGTCGACCTTGTCTTAAAACTTGATGAGACTATTTATTAGCAGGCTGAATCTATGTGATGTATATAAATATGACAACCCAGCTTTGCCTGGAAACTAATTTTAACTGAATTCAGATTTTTTAACATAGCTGAAACCATTCCCGTGGCTCTACCGAGTTCCTAAATAAATGTCAAGGCAAATCGGTGAATGGGTTCATGGGTTATGAACGAACATACAAACAAACAGACAAACAAAGATTACTACTTCAAATAACTCAAATAAAAAATCTCCCAGTTTTCCTGCAGAATATTGTTAAAAAAAGAAACATTTTGTAGGCGATAAATTGTAAAAACATTTGAAAATGCTATTCATTCAAGTTAGATATGAAATACTAAGCTAAGCTTATGGACACTTTCTCTTTGTTTTGTATACAACATAGAACAATAACAAAAAAGTTGCGGATTTTAAAATATTTTTCTTGGATTTTCTAAATGTTGATGGAGGCAAACGTTTGAAATTTTGATCATCCATAAACCTTTCCTGGGGTCATGTCAGGCCAGTCCAACAAAAAATTTGGGCCCAATCGGTTCAGCCGTTTTTATGTTTATTGGATACAAACAAACACACACCCACTCAGACAAGCAAAGTATATTTATAAAATGTACGTAAAAAACAATATAGACTAGATAATTGTAAATTAACTATTTTTAGCTTGAGCTGGATATTGATGATAAAAAGGCAATCCAAGCAATCTACGGGGAAAAACTTAAAGATCCCGAGCAAACTGTTCCTAACGTTCCTGTAACCAACAGGTATACAATATACAACATACATTATACAGTCAAACCCATGAATCTGTGGAATAGATGGAAAACCTTTCAGCATCCTATATGTATTTGATATTTTTACCTAGCTTGAAAAAAAGACCATATTGTGATACAAATCAGTAGCATTTCATACATTTTTTAATAGTCCTTAAGCTCTACTTTAATAATCTGAAAAAAACGGGTAGGATTATGGTTAAGTGAAATGGGCTTGTTTACAATATACATATTTATATATTTATTAATGCGGTGTTTCATCATTTTATGTTTATTTGACTTGAGTCTTAACAGTCGTCTTCCTATTCCCATTGATGGGATTCACTGTGGAATGTAGCAAAGAATGAACCATTGTAAAAGTTAAAATTGGTTTTATGTTTTTTTTTATTGTTGCTTTTATGTTAACGTTGAAACGGGAGGGGGGGGGGGGGGGGGGGGTGGAGCCGTAAATAAATGTTGCTCTTTTAAACCAAATAAAACTTTTTATTTCAAAATTAACCATAAATGTCAAATTAACGATTTAACTAAAAAAGAGAGGTTGTTAATAGCAATACTAATAAAGAACAAAAACACTCATTCATTCTTTTAATATATTTATGTTAATTATTTTACAATTACTATAATTAATGTGTTCAATAAACAGAGTTATATACTTAACTTCGTTATAATAGAATTAGGAGAGATAGGACTTAATTAGGAGAATCAATCAGTATTACTTCTATCCGTTTATTTGATTGTTCTTAGAAAAGTAAAAACTACCACTATTAGAGAAGTTTTTGTGCGGAGAGAACCATGGATGGATTTTTATTGTTTTAACATTGCATTTTCTAACGCAGTTTTGTAATTTGAAGAATTCAATTGAAAAAGTTTTAAAATGGTAGGTTGCTCTTTTTCTGAAGAAGTCGTGACGAACCAGGAAAGAACGGATTCATATTTATTTTTAATCTTAACTCATATAATTTACCGTTCCGTTCTAGAAGTCTTTAATGGAACCTTGCCAAATTTAAAATATTTTCTACGTCTTTATCTGCTCCGAACCAACCCTAGACTTTATTTAGACCTATATTGAGTAAACCTGGAGGGGGACAGGATATCGGCTCTGAACCAACCTTAGATTGTATTCAAACCTATATATTGAATAAGCCTGGTGTGGGACGGAATTTCTGCTCTGAAACAACCCTAGATTGTATTTAGACCTATATATTGATCAAGCTTGGTGTGGGACGAAATATCTGCTCTGAACCAACCCTAGATTGTATTTAGACCTATATATTGAATAAGCCTGGTGTGGGACGGAATTTCTGCTCTGAAACAACCCTAGATTGTATTTAGACCTATATATTGATCAAGCTTGGTGTGGGACGAAATATCTGCTCTGAACCAACCCTAGATTGTATTTAGACCTATATATTGATCAAGCATGGTGTGGGACGCAATTTCTGCTCTGAAAAAACCCTAGAGTGTATATAGACCTATATATTGAAAAAGCTTGGTGTGGGACGGAATATCGGCTCTGAACCAACCCTAGATTGTATTTAGACCTATAAATTGATCAAGCATGGTATGGGACGCAATTTCTGCTCTGAAAAAAACCCTAGAGTGTATATAGACCTATATATTGAAAAAGCTTGGTGTGGGACGGAATATCGGCTCTGAACCAACCCTAAAGTATATTTAGACCTATATATTGAATAAGCCAGGTGTGGGACAGAATATCTGCTCAACAATAGATTGTATTTAGACATATATATTGAGTAAGCTTCATGTGGGACGGAATTTCTGCTCTGAACCAACCCTAGATTGTATGTAGACCTATATTGAGTAAGCCTGGATGGGGACGGGATATCTGCTCAGAACCAACCCTAGATTTAATTTAGTCCTGTATTGAGTAAACCTGGATATCTGCTCCGAACCAACCCTAGATTCTATTTAGACCTATATTAAGCAAACCTGGAGGGGGACAGGATATCTGTTCTTAACCAACTTTAGATTATATTTAACCCTGTATTGAGTAAACCTGAATATCTGCTCCGAACCAACCTTAGATTCTATTTAGTCCTATATTGAGTAAACCTGGACATTTGCTTCGAACCAACCCTAGATTATATTTAGTCCCATATTGAGTAAACCTGAATATCTGCTCCGAGCCAACCCCAGATTCTATTTAGACCTATATTGAGTAAACCTGGAGGGGGTCGGGATATCTGCTCTGAACAAACCCTAGATTATATTTAGTCCTATATTGAGTAAACTTGGAGGGGGTCGGGATATCTGCTCCGAACCAACCCTAGATTCTATTTAGACCTATATTGAGTAAACCTGGAGGGGGGCGGGATATTTGCTCCGAACCAACCCTGGATTCTATTCTTACCATCGGAGAAACTACATTTGCTTTCAAAGGTATAGTTTTTTCATTTTACAACTTTAAAAACTAAAACTAAAAGCAAGTGCTTTATTGTTCTAAGATGTAAATGTGTAGAGCAAATAAAAAGCATAATCTAGATAGTAAAAAGGCCAATGCGCGTTTAGACATTTTAAATTCGAAAACTTATGCAACTTTTCCCACAAGTCGTGATTGAATAATTTTTAAAAATACGATTCTCAAAATTATCCCTCTATAATGTACAGTCTATGAGGATTTTGAAGATTGAAATTGCGCTCTTGCTGAACAAATATGCATCGTAAAAACGTCTGAAGGGTCTGAAATGAATTCTAAAAACGTTCTCTACAATACTGCATTCTTAGCTTAACTACCATGTCCAGCCAGACACTCCCTTTAAAGTTATTTGTTTGAGAACTTCATATTGCCCCTATTAGTGAGATTAAAGTAATTTACGTAGGAGACTCCTATTGGAAGCTAACAGATGACTCCATAGCTCCTGGATACCCTAGACTTGTTTCTCAAGACTGGACTGGACTTCCAGGTATATTCATCCTTCATATATTCATCCTGATATTTATCCTCATATTCATCCTTCATATATTCATTAAGGTGTTTATCCTTTCATTATTCATCCTTCATATATGCATTCTGATATTCATCCTTAATATATTTATTTATTTATTCGCTCTTTCAAATAAAACCAATAATATTAATGTTTTTTTACATATTCGTTTATATATTCATTCATCTATATATTTATCTCATATTCATTCTTTCTTGTAATTATTCTGATATTCATCCGGCCTTTCATGTATTCATTTAGATATTTATCCTTTCATGTATTCATTTAGATATTTATTCTTTCATTTATTCATTTAGATATTTATCCTTTCATGTATTCATTTAGACATTCATTCTTACATATATTTATTTAGATATTTTTCCGTTCATATTTTCATTTATATATTTATCCTTTCATGTATTAAGCATTTATTCTTACATATATTCATTTAGATATTTATCCTTTCATATGTTAATTTAGATATTTAACCTTTCATGTATTCATTTAGATATTTATCCTTTCATGTATTCATTTAGATATTTATCCTTTCGTGTATTCATTTAGATATTTATCCTTTCATGTATTCATTTAGACATTCATTCTTACATATATTTATTTAGACATTTGTCCTTTCATCATATTTTCATTTATATATTTATCCTTTCATATATTCATTTAAAAAAATCATCATTCTTCCATCATCTATAACAAAAAGATTCCAGTACAATAGATGTTAACGTAGAACTTGTAAACTCCAGTTCTCTGTTGCCACTTATTGTACATAGTAATGGGTCATGGCAATGGTATTTGATCTATAATATATTTGTTGAATGTATGTTTGTATCAAACAAAGGTCTAAATCGCTGAACCGGTCGGACCTAAATTTTTCGTGACAACTCACAGTAACATGACCCATAAAAATTGTGTCTGGACTGGACAAAATGTACACTTTTACAAAGTTTTTGCTTACTACGCTACTATATAAAGATGGCGGCTTATAAATCAATAAATAAATAGATAAACATGGTATTATATAGAAAAGAGGCGCAAAGCCTTGTACGGACTGCCCCAAATGTTTTTTTTTGTAAAGATTATGCATTAAAATCATTTTTTCCTCTATTGAAACCCCGTGAATACAGATCTGTACTTTTTATAATATGCTCTACTGAATTGGTCTTTTTGATCTTAAGTTAAATAATTCACTATATTCAACAACAACCGTTTAAAACTATAATAAAACAATCAAGACACTTTTATTTAAATTAATATAATCCGTCATATTAGGGTAGGGGAGCGTGTTTTCATTTTTTAATTTTTTTAGTCATTTTTCACTCTTAATGTCTTACCACAAATTCATATTTTCTTATCTATATATCTTTGCAACCTCATGGAGTAGACCTGTGATATTTTAAACTGTAAATTATTTTCATATTGTTTAAGTTTGAAATATCTAAGGGTTTTATACATTGACAGGTCGCAATGATTAAAGGATTAGGAAGTAACAAATTCTGGTGTTTGTTCAGTTCCTTTATTTTACTTCAATCTTTAAACCTAAAAACATTACATCACACGTATTAAAGTGAAGATATGAAAGATATCCCAATTTAAATTAGTCGTTTTTTGAATTTTGTTTTTCTTTAAACAACATCTACATGTATGGTACATTAATAAGTTACATAATTTACGATTAACATTATTAATATTTAGATAATATTGATGCTGCTTTTACATGGGAAAACGGAAAAACATATTTCTTCAAAGGATCTAAATACTGGAGGTACCCCCCCCCCCACCCCCAATCTTTTAAATATTTTTATTATTGGTTGACAATCATAAAATTTGTATCTTTTTAAATAATTAATATTCTTTTTTAATAATTCAATAAAACAGTAAGAAGTTGAGGAGAATAAAAAAGTTTGATGGAATTTTCCTGGTTCAGTAAAAATAGCTTTTAACTTTTATTGCACGTTGTTACGTTTTCTTCAGTTTTAACAGCTTATTTTGATTCTATACTTCATCTGAAACACAGAGCATCTTTTGTAGATGTATGCTTATGACTGTACAGTATTGTACTGAACTGTAATGTACTAAACTGTACTGTACTGCACTATACTGTACTGCACTGTACTTAAGTGTACTGTACTGCACTGTACTTAAGTGTACTGTACTGAACTGAACTGTACTAAACCGTACTGTACTGCACTGTACTTAAGTGTACTGTACTGTACTGTACTGCACTGTACTGTACTGTACTGTACTTCACTGTACTGTACTGTACTGTGCTGTACTGTACTGTACTGTACTATACTGGTTTGTACTGTACTGTACTGTACTGTACTGTACTGTACTGTACTATAGCTATGTACTCTAGGTATAGCTTTGACGAAATGGAACCCGGGTACCCTAAGGAGATAAGTAAAGGGTTTGAAGGAATACCAAACAATGTTGACGCGGCATTTGTTTGGTCAGGGAACGGGAAAATATACTTTTTCAAGGTATCTATCTATCTACAGTCATCGTCGTATATATCAATACAATGAAGACGACTTTCTATTTCAATTTTGATTTCCACCAATCTTTCATAATAGTATGAGACACAGAAACAAAGAGTGTTTTCTAATTTTAGCAACAGAGATCAATTGTACTAATAATAAAAATTCGTCTCCATTGTATTGATATAATCGCCAACCACTGTAACGTAAAGAAGTTTTTTTCTATCCTACAGGGTTACCTACAGTGAATGAAAATATTATTTGACCTAAAACAAGATAAAAAGACTGAATGTAATGTCTTTAAGAAAGTTATTAGACAATATATTATATGATTTAGAGTTTACAGTAGACAACTGCAGTGAAGAACATAAGAATTTTTTTTGAATAGCCCAAACTCTTTCTTTCTTGTTAAGAGCAACTAGCAGCTAATTTTTGATATTTTCAAGGGATCTCAATACTGGAGGTTTGATCCAGACAGTCGACCTCCGGTCAAACCATCCTATCCAAGGTAAAATTAAGGTCAATGAAGGTCAACCATCCTATTTCACGGTATCAAGATCAATGAAGGTCAAACTATCCTATCCAAGGTAAAATAAAGGTCAATGAAGGTCAAACCATCCTGTCCAAGGTAAAATCAAGGTCAATGAAGGTCAAACCATCCTATCCAAGGTATAATTAAGATCAATGAAGGTCAAACCATCCTGTCCAAGGTATAATCAAGGTCAATGAAGGTCAAACCATCCTGTCCAAGGTATAATCAAGGTCAATGAAGGTCAAACCATCCTATCCAAGGTAAAATCAAGGTCAATGAAGGTCAAACCATCCGATTTTCACGCTATAAAGGTCAATCAAGGTCCATCTAATAATCCTATCCAAGGTATCAAGGTGAGTTAAGGTCAAACCATCCTTTCCAAGGTATCAATGTCATTCAAGATAAAACCATTCTATCCCAGGTTTCAAGGTTAATTAAGGTCAAACTTACCTCTCCAAGGTAGCAAGGTCAATCAAGGTCAAACCATCTTATCCAAGGTAACAAGGTCAATCAAGGTCAAACCATCCTTTCTAAGGTATCAAAGTCAATCAAGTTCAAATTCAAACCATCCTATCCAAGGTATCATGGTCAACCAAGTTCAACCCATACTGTTTAAGGTTTAACGGTTAATCTCCAACCTTGTTTAGACCTATCTCTAACCTTGTTTAGACTTATCTCTAACCTTGTTAGACCTATCTCTAACCTTGTTTAGATCTATCTCCAACCTTGTTTAGACATATCTCAAACCTTGTTTAGACCTATATCCAACCTTGTTTAGACCTATCTCCAACTGGGAGGGTATCCCGGATAATCTAGATGATGCTCTGCAGTACAGTAATGGATACACTTATTTCTTCAAGGCTGGAGAATATTACCGGTTTGATGACCGCTCCTTTAAGGTTTATATTAATAAAAGAAATTCTAACGATGTGGGTGTCCCACGAAACATGACAGTTGGTGAATAATTTGGAATGTCTTCTTCCCTATACTGTAATAAATATTAAAGACTTTTTTCAATTTTTTCGTTCAATAAAATCTTTTACTAAAATATATTTAAAATTGAAATCAATTTTACTTTAATATGACTGCCAATAAATATTCTTATAATTCTCTTTGGTATTAAACAACTTAAGTAATTTTGGAGGAAGACATTTTAAATTATTCACCAACTGTTGTTTTGTGGGACACCCTGTATCTTAGGCTAGCTTTTCCTTCTCCCCCAGCATGCTTAAGATGTCTGTACAAGTAGGCTAAGAACGCAATTTAAGTTATTACTGTACCAAGTTTCATTTTACGTGGACAAATCAAGATAAACTTCTCGAAAGACATTATCGAATGTCGTCTTAACAATTTTTTCAATGGGTTTTACACTATTTCACCTAAATCTCAGTATTTGCGAAAATAAATAAATAGCCATGAATATGCGGGAACAGCTCCTTATAATCACTTAATTAAAAAACTAAATATCTGCAACATTCTATTATCAGAAAGTGAAGAATACGACATTTTATAAATTTCTTCGATGTATGGCGTTAGGGTTTAACTTTAGTTTTTTTGGTAATACTAATTTTGAAAACCACCAAGTTGTCAAAAAGCCAAAGATATTAAATCGGTTGAATTCGGATTCATCGAGAAGGACAAAAGTAAAGTTGATTTTAAATTAAATATTTTTAATCAAGGTTGATACTGCTGATCCCCCATTCCCACGTCCAGTTGGATATTGGTGGTTCGGATGCCCTTCCTCTCTTACTAAAGGTATTTTTAGATACAGAGTTTTCCATGAAAAGGACGAGACTTCAGAGACGATTTTACAGAACTTTTTAAATCTTGTCCTTACATTCTTGGTCGCTTCACACACCTCTGACCCTTTAGTAAAAGTAAATTTCACCTAAAGTCAGACCGCGTCAACCTTGTTGCACCGGCTAGTCCTATTGAGTGTCTTCTTTATTTACCCAATGTCCGGGCGATACTGTACAAACTGGGACCGGAAAGGTTGACCCGGCTAGGAAATTCAAATGTACTACGGCTGCCCGTGGCCTGCAGTTCTCTATCAAATTATTAAATACTCTACGAAGAAGGTGTACTAAAGGAACTAAAGCCAATCACCAAATTAAACCTTTAGATCGTTATGGCAATAGATATTTTGGTTGGCATTTAAGTTTCATCCTTTATGGACAACCATATACGATGCACCTTCATAAAGTAATCAGAGATAGTGATTCAGAACGCTCATGACCTCTTCTAACATTTGTTTGTAAATGATTTTGCATTGGAAAAGCTGTACCTTTATTAAAGTACATACTTTACCCACTGTAAAGTCAAATATGGGGGACGGGGGGGGGGGGGGAAGGAAAATTAAACTTATTCCATGAACCTCTTATATCCGTCAAAAAAAGGCTTGGTCTCGGAAGAAGTGCATATACATCAGTATAATGGGTGTTGGATTTTAGAAAATCTTACAAAATCTGAATTTATTAAAATCCGTCTTGTTTAAACGGTTGTGTCACTTAATACACGGTTTAGCGGGATATTAGAACTGAGCAAGGAGCGTTAAATCTGTCTAAAGCTGGTATTAGGTCGACCTGAACAGTTTGACGCTGTCCATGGTAACTATGGTTTGAATGAGGTAGATTCTAGCTCTCTAGATGCAGGTACTGAGATATATATCTATATATATATAAAGTAGTAATCTTGTCTGTCCGGTCATAACTCATGAATCCCTGGACCGATTGGCCTCCAGTTTTAATAGGAGAAGAGCCAGTAGAAGCACGGGAATGCCTGGGTTAAACAATTTGAAGTTGAGAGGGTTGAATTTTAAAGAGAAATTCTAATTATCCGGCAAAGCTGTGTTCCCAGGCCAATAAACATAGATTAAGCATATACTGAACTGAGGATGTTGTGTTTCATGACGCAAGGATTGATTAAATTTGAAATTAACTTTATTCTAAATGTAGAACTGCCAATTGTTACATTAGGCACATCAAAATTCATTCACTACTAAATCTTAGAAAAATATTCCTTAAATGGTGAGTATATTGCCATTTTTTTTCTGAAGGATTGTCAAATCAATAATTAAAAACCCGAAAATGATTTTTTATTTGGAATTAAAAGTAACTAAGACAAGATTTCTCCTTATATATGTTTATGCTTTCTAAGTTCCTATATTTATGGCGCATGTGTGCTCTATATTTACCAGCATGCCTGTCAGAGTGAATTTACATTCTATGCACGTTTAATTCTTTATTTGTCCCTGTGTTGCTTGTAATGTATTTTTCCTCGGCGTTAATAAACAAAAATAAGTCTAAATGAAGACGACACTAAGTTTAAACTCTGTAAGTTAATGAACAAAAATAAGTCTAAATGAAGACGATACTAAGTTTAAACTCTCTAAGTTAATGAACAACAATAAGTCTAAATGAAGACGACACTAAGTTTAAACTCTCTAAGTTAATGAACAAAAATAAGTGTAAATTAAGACGATACTAAGTTTAAACTCTGTAAGTTAATGAACAAAAAATTTAAATGAAGACAATACTAAGTTTAAACTCTGTAAGTTAATGAACAAAAAATTTAAATAAAGACGATACTAAGTTTAAACTCTGTAAGTTAATGAAAAAAAAAATTTAAGTGAAGAGTACTCTAAGTTTAAACTCTGTAAGTTAATGAACAAAAATAAGTCTAAATGAAGACTACATTAAGTTTAAACTCTGTAAAGGCTATGCACGTTTGAATCTTTATGTGTCCCTGTGTTGCTTGTACTTTTCCTCGACGTTAATGAAAAAAAGTCTATATTAAGACGACACTAAGTTTAAACTCTGTTGGAGGGTCTGAATCTATGTATAGACTAGAGGGGGGGGGGCTCTCGCACCCCCTTCCCTTGAGAAAGGACTTTAGATTAAAGGTCTGGTACATACTTATAGCCCAATTTTTCAAATCCAGCTCAATAAAAAAATTAGACCGCTGAGTTTAATGGTTTGAGAATTAAAAAGGCATTGAAAAATGGCAACAATAGAAGGACCGAAAAAATGTAAATAGTATATTTTTTGTTTTTGACAAGTAATAACTTAAAACATACGTTTTGATATGCATTTTTCAATGGATTTTAATAATAGAGCAAACAAAACTGTTAAGGGATAAAAGCATGGACAGTGAATACTTGTAAAATTCTTTTACGTTTAAGTAATTGTTTTTTTTCAAAGTAACTTTTATGTCAAATTGTTAATTCTTGAATATATTTTCAGAATAACTTTTCATTGAAGTCTTGGACTGTTCTTGTGCCTGTAATTACAATAGGAACGGAGGAGATGTCAAAACGTTCAATTTATGTTAATAATTAATTATTAATTGTATATTTATATTTGTATATGTCATTTGTTTGTACTGTAACGTCTCAATCATTATCTTTATTTACTCAAAACAACCTTAGAAAACATCTTATTTTTAAAAAAAACTATGGAGTTCGATTCGATGACCCTAGTAATTTAAAAAAAATATTTTTGCTTAATCAAAAATAATACTTAACACTTTAAATTTGGACGTGCAGAAACAAAAAAGAAAACAATTAAATTTCTAAAAATTTCACAACATAGAATTCTATTTCTAAATGGCTTTTAAAACGACGACCTTCTAAATATTTATCTTGAATCTGTATTTATATTTTAGAGAGGTTTAATGATGTCTCTTTAAGAATTGGTTCAACAAAATCTTCAGCTTATGTATCATCAAGAATAGATTCTAAAATGTTTCTTACTTTAACCTCTGCTTATCTTTACACTGTTTTGTACAGTGTAAATTGAATTCAACTCGAATGTCGTCTTAGATTTTCCCCACGATACTACAGAGCGTCCCATATCATACAGGGTGTCCCACGAAACATGACAGTATGCAGGACGACTTGAATGTCGTCTTGATTTTTGATATAATTTGCTGCGTTTATTTGTCAACCTAATTTTAGAAGTAAATTTCTAGAGAAAATAATCACAAAATTTCCCTTGTCCTGCCATTTCCAAAATGTGGTCTGCCTTTTTTGTGCTTTCAATATTGCCCGAGATATGAAGAATTTCGTTCAGATTTCGACAATTTTGCTTTTATTTAACAAAATTGAAATCTCAGGTAATATTGAAAGCACAAAAAACGCAGACCACTTTTTGGAAATGCCAGGGCTATGAGAATTATGTGATAATTGTATCAAGAATCATACATGTTAAAGTAGATAGAAGACTAAATGTCACAAATAAATTCAAATAAAAAAGACGACTTTCAAGTCGTCTTCCTATTGTCATGTTTCGTGGGACACCCTGTATTAGATTATCTTCAAGCTTTAACGCCAAAATAAAACCATAATACTCAAAAAAAATTGTATTTTTCGCAAGAAAGTTCTTATATTAGCCTTATTCAATTTTTCGAAATGATTCATTCTTCTTAAATTTTCTGATTAGTTTCGAAAATCGTAATTTAGACCGATTGACGATCTCTAATAAGAATTGGGACACCCTGTATGAGACATTTCGCCAGTTATACAAACAAAGTCAAATCGCTGCAAAGATTGTTTTTACCTTCTGTTTTTTTTTAACATTTATCAATACAATAGTTGCATTTTTAACATCTTTTCAAATTTGAAGTTTTTAGAACACTTTTTTAAAAAACAAATATGCAGCAAAATAATCGAATCGTCCTTGTATATTTTTAATGTATATTCAAAAAATTTTAAATTATATAAATGTAAATTTTTTATGCTTTGATCTTTTTTGGGGGGATGAATTTAAATAGTAATAAATTAGTTCTTAATTAATTCTACATTTATCGTTCAGATATTTATGTAAGGCTGTGCTATATAATAAATATTCTAATTCAAATTTCAATGCATTTATTAAGATCATTTGTAGCGTAACCTAAATAAACTGTAAAAGGCTTTCGTCGTAGATTTAAGTAATTTTAATTCACAATTCACAACGGTACCCTTGAAACTTTAATCTTATCAACAATGTAAAAGATAGCGTCAGTTTTCTGGTTGGAAAAGTTATTAATCCTGGAAATTATCACAGAGAAACCATAAATAATAATAAACAGTTTTTAAAAACAAAACTTGGATATGTAATTTATACTTGATCAGACAAAGGTACTGTTGTGAATCGGACATGCTAGTTTATCATCGGAGGTTCGCATGAAATAACGTTTACAGACCCTTTAATCAACATGAAATTCATCGATTAGAATAGGTACAGCAGCGGAATAAAACTGCAAAAAAAATAGGACTGAATTATACAGTTATACTGTACTAGGCCTTTCGGGCGCTTCACGCCCATCTTCTATTTCAATTGTGTTGTACACATGTTGTACACATTGTGTAAAACCAAACAAAAAGTTAGCGGATTTCATAAAGAAAATTCGTGGATTTTCAAAAAAATTTTAAATTTAATAAAAATTTAATTTTGTTCAAGGCGAATTTTTAAAATTTTGATTATTCAAAAACCTTCTCTTGGGCCACGTGAGGTCACAAAATTTGGGCCCGAACGGTTTAGCCGTTTTGATGTTTATTGGATACAAAAGGACAGACACCCAGACACTCAAAGTATAGTGAAGAAAGAAAGTGAAGGTCGACTTTAATCTTTAAAATATTATGCGAAATTTATTCGTAATCCAAATTTTGAAAGTAAAATTCTAGAGTTAATAATCACAACATGCCTTGTCCTGGCGTTACAAAAATAATCGGTAATTTTAACAGCACCAAAAAAGTAGACCCAATTTTGGAGACTAGGAGAATTTTAGGAATATTAGGAACTTGTAAAAGTAGATTGACAAATCAATTTCACAAATAATTTAAAAAAGCAAAGACGACGTCCCGGTCGTCTCTCTACTGTCATGTTTTGTGGGACTCCCTCCTGTTAACCTTTAATATCAGAATTTGACATTTAATCTCAACTTTACACTCTACACTCTACACTCTACACTCTACACTCTACACTCTACACTAGAATTAGATTATTTCTTGAATTGTAAGAAACCTTCTCCGTATGGTACCATATCGATACGGGTATAGTCACTATAGGCTTCAGAAGGTTTGAGCAGTATTAAATTGTGTTTTTCACAAATTTGATAGGAATCAATTTCAAGTAGTGAATACCAGGGGCGTACGAGGAGAGGGGGNGGGAGGGGGGGGGGTCTTTTAATATTAGATCTTCCTCAGGCAATCTACATTCTACATTGCATTGCATTGCACTCACCCAAACTAAAAGATTAAGAAAAGAATTAAATGCTCTCGTACGTCCCTGGTGAATACTAATATATTTTTTAATTCTAAGAAACATTTACTAAAGGCATTTTTCGCTAAAATCAAAATTGACCATCGAAAATGGCCTTTTGTGATAAAAAAACGCTTGTGAGAGAGCTCATTTTTTCTTCTCAAAATATGTCGAAATGGGCACCAAAAGATTTGTTTTTCCAAGCCATATTCAACGGAAAAAACTGTTTTCAAATTAATTAAAAATAGCCAAGTTGGAGCTGAAAAACTAGGGAAAACAGTTGATTTTGGGATTTCCCTAATTTTTCCACTTGAATGCTCCTAGATGGCTTGTTTTTAAATGTTTTACAAACCGTTTGCTGCTTTGAATTAGGCTTTGCAAGACGGATCTTTTGAAACCCATATCGACATATTTTGAAAAATTGAAAACTCACATGCATAACCTGTTTGTCGGCCACAAATAGCCATTTTCGATAATCAGTTTTTATTTCATCGAAAAATTCTTTAAATAAATGCTGCTCAAAATTAAACAAACACGGTAGTATTTAATATACTTGATTTGTGTTTCATGAAAATGTTTCTTTTTGTGTAGATTTCAAAACTATCATGTATATAACAGTTGAGAGGACTTGAATGACTCTTTGAGCTTTGAAATGAGTTTGCATTCATAAGCATATCTAATTTTATCAGCAACATTATTGAATTAAGAATTATATATATTATATATATATTATATATATTTTTAGTCCTGGCATTTCCAAAACGTGGTCTGCTTTTTTGTGCTGTAAAAATTACGGAAGAAATGCAGAATGTCGTTCAGATTTCGAAGAATTTTGGCTTTATTCAATAAATCGAAATCTGAACAAAATCACGGAAGAAAAAAAGAGACAGACCACGTTTAGGAAATGCTAAACTTCATTTATTGAAGAGCTATTGAGAAGAGGAAAATATTTGAATCTAACAAAATAAATTTATTTTTCTGACACAATTGTACGTAAAATAAAAGTTAGTGGATCTAAGAGGTCAACAAGTCGTACCAGTGATGTCGCATAAATTTGACCAATTGTGATATTCAAAACGGTTAAAACAGCCTTTCTTTTATATGACATATTCTTTGCTAGCTGTTTTTATTACTGTTTCCCCAACAGAAGAACTTCACTTTCTTTTTTTACATTTAGAATTTCCGGTTATGTAGTACACACGCGGTCATATTGAATAAAAAGTTTATATAATTGTAGACTGAAAGAAATTGATTCTTTTTGATAAACTCAAACTTTCGAATTACCTTTGCCCTCTAATGGTGTAATACGTTAACGTACAACCTTTAAACTTAGAATACTTTATCTGACGGAATTCATAGTTTTAAATATCTACTAAGGCCTACAGCACAGATATAGTGATTAGAAAGTTTAAGTTTTGTGGCAAAGACTCAATTTCTTTGTTGAGATTATGTCGCAGAGAGTTTTGTTCAAGTAATCTTCAAATAAATATATGATTGAAAATATAAATATTATTTTCACAATTTTTCATAATTACTTTTTCAGCAAACAAAATGGTCATAAAAGCAAAACAAGAAGGGTATCTGACAAAATTGTTAACGCTTAAACCTTGCGAATACTTGACATGCGGAATGCCTGCATTGAATCAGCCCCCCCCCCCTCCTCACCCACCCACACCAAGCCTTGAAAGGGTTAAGGAAAATGAAGCTAAAACATATTTATAATAATATCTAATGATATATACATTTAAACCAATGATCTGCAGGGTTGAAAAACTTGTTCAACTTTATATGTAAACCTGGTTACAGGTCGTACTCCATGTATCTAGGAGTGGGCTGGGCGTGGTTTGACCTATTGCCTTGCACAGGTTCAGCCCTAGGGTTCACATAATCCACGCCCATTTATCAATATATTGATGACTTAATATTCATCTTGTATTATACAACATTGGGAGCCTATTACAACTTTACAAGTACTTTTCAAGATATACACTTGGCATTATTTGAATTTAATAATTGTTACGACATTTATGGTGTTTAGTTTGTGTTTTATATCTCAATTGTTCCACGCTTTTACACCTCACGCCAAATAAAATAAAATCTTTGCTCACAAATTAAACTAGTTATATAAAATATAATCGTTCTACTTATATACTTATATACGTATAAAGTATCTTTAAGAGGTGCATGCAGTCTTAATAACTTCTTAAATATGGATAAGAAATTTATAAGATATACCTAAAATTGCATTCATTTAATTCTTTGAAAAATATGTCAAACTAAATGTTTAAGTTTTTCTAACTGTGGTGTTTTAATTCAAGTCTCTAATTGACCGAATTGTCCAGATTTGTCGATCAAAAAATCTTATGGAAAAAATTTCCGTTGTTAGCTGCTTTTATGAATTCAGCAACGAATTTATCTTTTAGGTTTTAAATTTAAAACGGATTTTGTCGTTTTTCAATAAATAACAATTGTTTCCTTTCAAATCTTAAAAAAACAACTACTATTCTTAGTTTTCA